GAAGAAGTTTTCTGCGCCAAGTTATTTTGGGCTAATCGTTTTTGAGAGTTCCTATTCTGTGTGTACTGGCCAATGAGAGACATGGATTTTGAGCGGGAGAATCTTTCTTTGTCTCTTGTTTATGGCTCATTTGCATGTTTTATGGCCGGTCTGGAATTTCTGTAGTTTTAACCCAAAATATCGTACGAGTCATATGATGCATTTCACAATCACATACTGTACCTCATTGTCCGAGGAATGAAAGACAGGTAACATTGATACCAAGAAACAACCATTTGGAATAGATTAAACCAAAGATACATACATACACCTGAATATCAGTGTTTTATGGCTTTAACTAACACAAATAACGAGTGGTAACTCAGCTAATCTAATAGGGGAACGTACACACAACACATGCATATACCAGATACAATTATAACTGATTAATTATAGTCTAAAATAAAGAAATGTCTTTATGTGTGTGTGTGTGTGTGTGTTAGTTTGTGTGAGTGTGTGTTAGTTTGGCCATTTACAGCTCTTTGGGAATGTGTTTGAAATCAGATTGGGGGATGATAGTGGGGGCTGGTTCGAATCTTCTTGACGGTGAAGAACCATCTGGCAATTTAAAACCCCTATACGAACGTAAAGTCTCTGACCAGAACTGTAATGTATATGCAAATGTCAAAAGGCTAAAAGGGGTCTCTTAAGCCATAAACAGTCCAACGCTCATGCATGATCCTACGCAGACGCTACACATTCTTCATATTCATGTATCTTCACAAAATCAGGAACAACTTTATCTTTATCTTTTGTTATTAAGATAAAAAAAACTGAGTTAGCAGAAACTTTAGCTGCTCCATAAAACACGTTTGAGAACCCATAAATCCATGTTTCTCTTTATTTTGACAAAAAAAAGGATTTTCTTCATTTTGAGGAAACTGCAGTGAACATACATGTAGCAGAAAGAAGTTTAGTTTAGTTTAGAGCTTTATTAATCCCCTTGGGGCAATTAATTCAGACTTTCATAGTGCTTCACATATACAACACTTAACACACACATACATATATTTAAAATACACCAAATACATAAAAAGTGGGGGGGGGGGATAAAAATGTCATTAATTAAATAAATCATCTAAATCAACTAGATTTATTACATAAACGTATTGCTTCAGGCACAAAAGTAAATTTGTACCGGTTTGTGGAACATCTAATTGACCTTAAACGTCGTCCAAGGGGCATCCACTCAAAATAATCATTCAAAGGGTGTGTGCAGTCTCCTATAATTTTATGTGCCATCCTCATCACTTGCTGTTCATAATAAAATGTAAGACTTCGCAAGGGAACACCTAAAAGTTGAGCACACATTAACAATACCTTGCAAACAATTTTTGTTCTTTGTAGACAATAAGGAAAACCAACAAATAAAGGAAAAGGACCATATACTTTCAACAAATGAATTGTAAAAAGTCCTGAGAATGACTCTCTGTACATTAAAGGAATTTAGCTTCCTCAGCACAAACAATCTTTGATTTGACCTTTTAATAATTGCATCTGTGTTTTGATCAAACTTCAGCCTATTATCAATAATCGTTCCTAAATACTTGTATTCCTCCACTACATGAACATGAGTTTTACTGCCTGCACAGCTTTGTGAAACAGTATACATTTGAACAAGAGAGCTTAACTCTCTGTCCCAGTTGCCAGTAACACTGAATTTTATACCAAAAGTTGGTGAGATTTCTAAATATTTTTTTTAAGTTATGTTCAAGGCTGTATTTATTTGATAATAATAATTGTACTGTATTTTTATTATTATTATGAGACTTTTTTCAGGATTCTTTTAAATAATGGAATATTTATTTATTTATTGTTTTGGACATGTAAAAGCATTTACTTTCACTTTTGACAAATTTAATGCATCCTTGCTGAATAAAATTATTATTTTTCATAAAAAAAAAATAAAAAAATACTTGACCCCAAACTTTTGAACAGCAGTGTAAGTTTTTTCAGAAATGTATTTGGGACACACTGGATCAGTAAGCTTGTGGGTTCAGTAGAGCTACTTAGTGACAGAAGGTAGTATATAAAGTATCTACCCTCAGAGTTAAATTAGTGTGATCACAGATAGAGCAATTATGAGCTGCGCGCACACACACACACACACACACACACACACACACACTGATGCTGGAAGGGAAGGTCAGTTTGAAGGGCAGAACCCTGATTTACATTCTCACTGTCTTAATCATTAATTAATCATTTATGTAAATGGTCCATTAGCATTTTCTACAACTCAATTGACTGATTGAATTAAAAATTATAGCTCATACAACCTTGTTCGTATTTGTAATGTTAATAGTGAGAACTTATTGTAAAAACTGATGTGTAATAATTAGAGCTATCAATTTAACATATAATAGTGTGGTTAATTTGAAAAAGAAAATGCAATAATTAATTCATTAAAAAGTAATGCTATTAGTTATATCACTATTACAGAATTGAATTCAGAATGGAAGGGCTTGACATGTATTTTTGACACAAAATATTTAAATGTATGTATTTTTTTTATTTACTGATGCAATCACAGCTAGTAATACACATAAATTATGATTTCATACACTTTCAGAAATACTTAAGCTTCTTTTTCATACAGTTCAAAGCGAGTATATAGGCTACAATACCTCTGAAGGAACACTGGAGAAATGCAAATGAGGTTATTATAAGGCTGTTTACTAAAGAACCTAACATTGAGTTTGTTTTAAAGATATTGTTTGTTGCAGCAGGCTTTTGTCAGTGTTTCCCCTGTGATACCCAGCGTCAGATCTGGATGCTGGGTGTATTTTTTATTCCCAGAGCAGAGGTAAGACGACAGGCCTTTTAAAGTCTTTCCATGCCAAAATAGCTTTGATTTTATCTCCACTGACAAATTTCATTTGCCTGTCAGATATCTATTTTCCCCATCAGCAGCCGCGTGAAATCGGTTCCTCAATCTGTGCCTGATGCTCAGTTGTTTCCAGGCACAGTTGGAAAGAGATTATGTCCCTTCTTATCCCCTCCAAGTCAGCTCATTATTCACATTTGGCTCTTTTGGTCTTAAAACCGCATTACCCATGATGTCTCCCGTTGAGACTAAATGAAGCTGACCTGCATGGAAGCGTAGGTAATTTGTGCTCGGAGAAGGGTGGATGTGGGCAACCTATTGTTTTGGGGCAGATGGACTCCTCCTCCTCTTCACCTGCCATTTTCATGTGCCATGTCTCTTCCTCTTGTTGTTTAGGATCTCTTTTGTCATTCCCTCTTAAATCCTTAATCCTGCTCCATATTTCTCTCTCCCTTGACATTCAAATCCTTCCCTCCCTGCCGCCTTCCCCATCCATCCACTGCCAGGTTTACTGATACGAGAACCAGTTCAGGGTGTTTGCTCATGGAGGATTGCAGAGTGTGATTGTGCTAGAAGTTGTTTGTAACACAGTAAGCAGTGGACACATGCCAGCAGGACGCCTGTTGCTGCATCTGAAAAAATAGGCTTGTTGTGTCTATGTAAATTCCTTAGACAAAGACCTCTGTAAAGCAAACTTTTAATTATTATTTTATAATAAATTCATACAATTGTTCGTCACTCTTGTGCAGAACAGAAGGCAGAGATGCTGTGCGCTTTGTGTGCCAAATTTGAACTAATTCACTTTTTTTCTGAGGATTGTGATGTGGTGTGCACGGAGTATTTGAGTATTGTTTTTTTTTTTTGTTTTTTTGTACTTTAATGTTTTCCCGGCTTTTCCTGGTTTTGGACTTGCATAGATTAAGCTTTGCACCAATTTTGGCTACAGATGCCATTATAGAAATATCCAGAGGATAGAATATTTATTATTCATTTATTCAGCAAGCAGACATGTCTAGTATTAGGGGGTTAGTCTTGTTAAGAACCTCCCACTTAGACAGGAAGAGACTGCCTGATCGATTTGATGTCAAATGAAAAGCAACAGACCACAGACGATATTTTTGAATCTTCCCAAAAATCCTGTCTTTACTCTTTAGTTCTGTAGCTTATATAGTTTTAAGTGAAAAAATTTATTTGGTACAATAAGGTCCCATTAGTTAACAATAGTTAATGCATTAAATAACATTAATGAGCCATATATTCCAATAAATAAGTTATTTATTAATCTTTGTTAATGATAGTTAATAAAAATAGAATTGTTCATTGTAAGCTCATGTTAGCCCAGGTCTAATTAACTAATATTAACAGATAAAACGTTTGAATTTTAATAATGTACTGTATTGGTAAATGATAAAATTTACTGAAATTAAAAATGCTTTAGAAGTGTTTTTGATTGCTACTTAATAATATCTAACAAACTAATTGTAACAAATAGAACTTCATTGTAAAGTGTTAAAAAAATTAATTCTTGATTTTCAACTTTTGTTGATGCTTTTTAAATAAACTTTGACTTGACTGTTTATTTTGTTTTTGCTTACAGTTTTGAGAGATACAGCAATAATAGAGGAAATACATGAAAATTAATTATGTAGCAATTTCTGTGAACAGTTGTTCAGAAAGCAGAAACGGTCAAAACAATCATTACTGGAAAATACAGTTTTGCTTGTGAATATCTAGTTTATTCACTCAGAACTCTAATGCTAATCCATTTAATTCAGAACAATAGTAACTAATAACAAATTAGTTCTGGCTCAAAATCACTCATTGTATCAGCCCAGTACCGTTTTCTTCCAGGGCAGATTGTTTTTTGTGTGTGAAATATGACATTAGAGCTTAGGCAATTGACTGTGAATGCTCTGTGGATATACCGTCAGAGTATGAAACTAATTGGTGGAGATTTGCATTGACCACTGGTGTTGTCAAAAGTACTGTACTTTTTTATCCCCCCAAGTATAAGTACTTGTGTACTTGTTTAACTTGAGTAAAAAAAAAAACTTTATTACCAATGCTACATGTGAATTTTATACATATGCTAATCAGTCTGTCTAATGCATTATAATGTTTTCTTCTCCTTTAGCTGACATACCTTCCTCCTCCGTGGGGCGAGTGTGTGTCCAGAGCCCTGGATTCAGGCCTCTTTCAGGTGTACAGCGTGTCTGCCTGTCGCATTGAGTGTGAGACGCGCTACATCGTAGAAAACTGCAACTGCAGAATGGTCTACATGCCTGGTACGTCCAAACCTAGCAGTGCTTGAAACTAACCTTTTACTTCATACTCATCCTCTCTTACTTCTACACAGTACATTTCAATTTCAGTGTTCAGTTTCAGAAATTGTAATTTTACACAAAATATTGCCTAAGTATCAAAAAAAAGTAATTATAATACCAATATACATAATCGTACGTACGTTTTATATTCTGGCGGAAAGCAAGTCAGCATTGGGCTGTGTGTAGCGATAACTTGATTCCTTGTGCATTTGTGGTTTGCATTTGGCAGCCGAGCAAAACCTGACTGAACTTGTTTAGAAAAGGTCAGAGTATAGAAATGAATTCAGTTGTCTGTGGGCCAAAGGTGGTTTGGAACAAGCCCACAAACTGACAGCAAGGGCTTGTAAGCATCAACTGTGACTGAACTTGACATATTGTATAATTTGAGAAGTGTGGAAGATCTCTCCGCAAAATGAAACTTCATTTCTTCAGAAACATTCCATTTTAATTTAATTTCACTGATAAATAAAAGTCATTTTGGCCCATTGATAAATAGTCATCTTTAACTGTTGCTAAATGGTCTTTTTAAATACGCAATATATTTCAATGATTTCATAATATGATTTCATGAACTTTTCATTGTGACTTAGTGCCCTTTATGTCCCAATCTTAATGCCGATGTATGCTCTCCCATAATAGCTGATCTTTAAAGTTAGTGCTGCAGTCATTTTCATTTTAAACTGGTCTCTTTTAATGACACTATATGGTCTCCATTTTCACCTATCTGATAAAACGGGACTTCTTTTTTAATATAATTTCATATTAATTCTAACCCATAGGCGCCAACCTCAACCTCCTGCTACTTCAATTGGCACTCAAGACAGGACAATTATCTCATAGATGATTAGTCCTTCATTCACACAGGCACCCTGCTCTAATACTGTAATTATAGATTAATTAACTGATTGTGACTGCCCTGTGATGTACATTCAGGATACGTCTGATACATTTTAGCCAAGAGCAAGTGTAGACATGCACAAAACTCTATTCCATATGCACACACACACACTCCCAGTTGTTTATTTCCTTGTCGTGCTGCTGAGTTTGGCTGGGTGAAGGTTGGATCTGTTTTTCTCCTACTCAGAACATGTTCCCAGTGATTCATTATTAATTTAAGAAGGCTGAATAAAGAATAACTTTTCTTTGACACCTAATTTTTTTCTGTTTCTTTGTTTTCCTCTCATTTCTAGGTGATTCTCCATACTGCACTCCTGAACAGTATAAGGATTGTGCTGAACCTGCTCTGGGTGAGTGTATTCTTCACACGCACACATACACACACTGGTTTCCATGTTTGATGGGGGTATTCCATAATGTAATGGTTTGTATACTGTGCAAACTATACTGTACCCTACCCTACCCCTAAACCTACCCCTCACAGAAAACCTTATGCACTTTTAGATTTTCAAAAAAACTTTATAATTTATAAGCTGTTTTCCACATGGGGACCAAAAAGGTACAAAATTACTGGGATCACAATCCTTGTGAGAATATTTGGTCCCCATAATGTAGGGAATACCAGTACACACACTCTCTCTACACCCGTTTATTAACTAATACATATACACATGTTAAACTGGGTCAGAACAATTCAGAATAGCATTTCACTACATTTATTTTAATACATTGCACGGTTTGTATTCCATTTTGTTTGTAAATGCTCCAGTCGGGTTTTGTTTGTAACAGCACACATGTTCTGGCTCCGTTTAGCAAGTAAGTTCAATATTATCCATCTCTGTAGTCCAGGGGATCTCAATCTTGGTCCTGGAAAAATCCAGCACTGCACATTTTGTATGTTTCCCCGTGGGTTTAAAAGACAATTCATATTTAATAATATTATAAAATTTTATCAGATGAGAGCAAAACTGAAGCTGGATAATGACACTGTTGGCTTCTGTAGAGCTGCTTTTTAGCTGAATCAAATTTGTTTCATAATTGATTAATTTTGCAACATTAACACTGTTATTTTCCCATTTATTACTGTGCAGCTGCTTTGACGCAATCTGTATTATTAAGCGCTATATAAATAAATGTGACTTAACTTGACTTCCCTGTTTGAGCCACTACTAATAAACTCGTGATATCAATCAGATGTGATGCATAAAGGAAACATCCAAAATGATCAGTGCTGGGGTACTTCAGGCCAGGATTGAGAACCACTGTACTTATCAATGTCAGATTCTGCCAAATAGGCTGCATCCAAAACTCTATTTTTGAATAAGTACTGTTGAATAAGTATATATTTGACATGGCATGACACAACAAAACAAGAGTGATTCTGTTGTAATCAACAAAACTCTATACAAAGGCAGGTTTTGTTTTGTTGCTCACATTCACGGTTTGACTCCGGATGTATTAGACATTTTCAAACTCTCATGGCACAAAATACATATGCACAAGTTCTGTTCAGCAGACCTTCATGACTGTTACTGCACTGACCCTCCAAAATATCCAATTACATGGACAAAACTCATGAAAACAGCAGCCACTGTCCCGCTTTTATTCTCTGCTCCACATCTTCCTCCTCTGTAACAGTGTTTTGTTCTTCTGTAGCATCCTTAAAGAGAGTAAAAGGGTAAACGGCGGAGCAAAAAGTAAAAGAAATGTAATTGAACAAATCTGTTTGTTTGTGTGTGTGCTTTATATATACGCATTATATATAATCTTCACAAGCTTTACCAAATTAGACTTTTTAAACTCTGAATGGAGAAAACTTTGAAAGTATGCCTCAGTTTGCTTACAAAATAACTGCATTTTTCTTTGCAGATCTTGATTCCTCTTGACACTGAGACTCCTTTATTGAACTTTAAATTCCTTCGTGAACTCTCTCAAATTAAGTCATTATTTTGGAAATATATTCAGGGAAAACAAAGACTTGAACTGTTTTGTGCACCATCCCTACCAACAGAATGCAGTCTGGCTCTCATTATCTCCCTCTCTACGTACCATCTGACAGTATATACCAGCGGTCTGTCCCACACATAATAAGCAAGTTGGCTCCATGTTCACTAATTATCTTTTGCTAATGAGGAAATTCAAATTAGAGCACAGCTAGGACTGTACATTTTCGATCATCTCAGGTACACACAATCCGTTTCCAAAGACTTCCTCAGGCTATTAATATGTGTAATTTCAAACATTTTTACCTTTTTATTAGAATTCTCTGTGCACAATCATGCAAGATAAAGCCAAAGGAGTATGAAGAGGGACAGACTTCCAAACCACTGGAAAAGTTTCATTCTCTGACCCCAGTTGACAAGTAAAGGCACAACGGCACAGCACAATAGGCTGAACAGCTTGTCCAAAACTTTCGCTGCTGGCTTCAAAATCCTTGACAGCTGGTTCTTATCTTTGACAAAGTGGAGAGGAAATTATTACCAACTTCAAATTTCTGTTCACAGCATCCTGAGGAGAGAAGAAATATGTATTTTCACCAGAATAATATGCAGATGAACACAATTAAAAATGAATGGGGGGAGGTATGAAAGGGAAATTGCTAGAGTAAAAAAAAAAAAAACTAATAATAATAAAAGAAAAGAAAAGAAAAAAAACAGAATGAGTGAGATTGGCCATGATAGAAAACACTCAGAGACAGAACAAAGAACAAGCAGAATATTAATCAAGAGATGTTCCGAATGGAATAATAATGTACTGTGTACTGCCTAGTGCCTACCAAAACAGTATTCAATGAGGAAATAGAATGTGATATTACACAAAAACAGTAGTACTCCTAAGAAATAAACATTGATATTTTGTATTGTTAATTCAGTTATTTTAGTCCAATTACATTTTTTTTTTTTTTTGGTACTCCAATCAAATACTGCAAATAATGCAAATACTAAAAATTGTATCGAAAGCCAGGGTCAAAACCTGGTTAGCACAAATAATAAATGCCCATTGTAAAATACTAAATCAGCTATTCTATTTAAAATTGTATTTTGAAAATTTAGTTGAATAATTGAGTAACTAATGACAAACAAAGCAGAATCCCAGTAAATTCTTATTATTATATATTATATTATATATTCTTCTAATTGAAGTTATGGGGCCGTTGTGGCCTAATGGTTAGAGAGTCGGACTTATAACCCGAAGGTTGTGGATTCAAGTCTCAAGTCCGGCAGGAATTCTCGGTGGGGGAGTGAATAACTTGGATGGATTAAATGCAGAGCACAAATTCCGAGTATGGGTCACCATACTTGGCCACGCCACGCCACGTCACTTCACTTTTTCACTTTATACTATAAACTCCATGAATGAAAACGATTTCACTTAATTAGCCTATATGTTTTAAAAAGCAAAGATGTCTAGAATGTGCATCTAATTCATGGAAATACTGAATAATAACCCCATTAAAATATCTATTACATTAAAAAACAATAACACTAGTAACAACATGCCACCCAGGGTCTAATTTTATGTTTTCAATTAAAAATGAAAACTATAATTTTACTCCACAAATCTAAAAACATTTTTGCCCACAAATCCCTCATTAACAGATAGACACAAAAAACTTTAATATTCAACATAATACAATGTCATAGATCACTATTTTCCAGAGACACAAAATTTAATCAGTTAACCACACTAACTCTCACAAATGGTGATATTCAGATGAAATGACAAAATGAAAAATAGCATAGCTATTCATCAAAAGTGTTTTGAAATGAGATTGTGCCATCAACTGTATGGTCAAAAGAAAAAGAAAAATAAGGTGGGATGGTCAGCTTGCTCCAAGGGGCATCTTACCCTTCTATACTATTATTCTATATTAATAAAAAGGCCAAATATAATAAAGTTTGTGGTTGAAATTGCTAGCCACATTGGAAATTGAAGGTCTAGTCAAGTGCAATTCATTGTGGAATACCTTTGTGGTTTCGAGCACAGGATCTGTCATTGGCAATTCTTGGAGAAAATGAGATACTTGGATAGTTATCAGATGTGAACGGTGCTTTTAAGTTCATACAGAATGATGGATTTAGCACAAGATTATAGCAGATTTAATAGTCTTGTGTGTGCGTGTGTGTGTGTGTGTGTGTGTGTGTGTGTCTGTGTGTCTGTGTGTGTAGAGGAGGTTAAATCTGACTTATTCTCCAATTAAATTATGTGACTTTAGCATCATCTCCAACGGCAGGGGTGAGAGAGGGGGATGGAAGTGAGGAGAAGAAGCAGAGGTAGAGATAGAAAAGGTCAGGGATGGATGAATTTAAAAACCATACTTGGCCACGCCACGCCACGTCACTTCACTTTTTCACTTTATACTATAAACTCCATGAATGAAAACGATTTCACTTAATTAGCCTATATGTTTTAAAAAGCAAAGATGTCTAGAATGTGCATCTAATTCATGGAAATACTGAATAATAACCCCATTAAAATATCTATTACATTAAAAAACAATAACACTAGTAACAACATGCCACCCAGGGTCTAATTTTATGTTTTCAATTAAAAATGAAAACTATAATTTTACTCCACAAATCTAAAAACATTTTTGCCCACAAATCCCTCATTAACAGATAGACACAAAAAACTTTAATATTCAACATAATACAATGTCATAGATCACTATTTTCCAGAGACACAAAATTTAATCAGTTAACCACACTAACTCTCACAAATGGTGATATTCAGATGAAATGACAAAATGAAAAATAGCATAGCTATTCATCAAAAGTGTTTTGAAATGAGATTGTGCCATCAACTGTATGGTCAAAAGAAAAAGAAAAATAAGGTGGGATGGTCAGCTTGCTCCAAGGGGCATCTTACCCTTCTATACTATTATTCTATATTAATAAAAAGGCCAAATATAATAAAGTTTGTGGTTGAAATTGCTAGCCACATTGGAAATTGAAGGTCTAGTCAAGTGCAATTCATTGTGGAATACCTTTGTGGTTTCGAGCACAGGATCTGTCATTGGCAATTCTTGGAGAAAATGAGATACTTGGATAGTTATCAGATGTGAACGGTGCTTTTAAGTTCATACAGAATGATGGATTTAGCACAAGATTATAGCAGATTTAATAGTCTTGTGTGTGCGTGTGTGTGTGTGTGTGTGTGTGTCTGTGTGTCTGTGTGTGTAGAGGAGGTTAAATCTGACTTATTCTCCAATTAAATTATGTGACTTTAGCATCATCTCCAACGGCAGGGGTGAGAGAGGGGGATGGAAGTGAGGAGAAGAAGCAGAGGTAGAGATAGAAAAGGTCAGGGATGGATGAATTTAAAAATGTTTCTTTGAAAAGTCAGATTC